CCGCCGCCCCATTTTGACACACCCCTCACGTGCTTCGTGGCTCCATGAGGAGCTCCAGCGAAGGCCCACATAGCAGCGCCCGCGTGGCTCTGCCGCCCAGTTTCGGCACACCTCTCGCACGCTTCGTGGCCTCATAGGGAGCTCCACCGAAGGCCCAACCGGCGGCGCCCGCATGGCGCCGCTGCCCAATTTCGGTACACTCCCCACGCTGTTTCGCACCCCCGTAAGGGGGCTCCACCGAAGACCCAGGTGGCAGCGCCCTCCAGGCGGCGCCCCGTCCGTTTCGGTCACCCTCATAAGCTTCGTGGCCCCACAAGGAGCTCCCCCGTTCTTCCCATTTGCCCTGCTGCAATCACGCCTGCAGAAGGTTGGGTCCGTCGCCAGGATAATGAGTCTTCCCGACCATCCTGTGGTGCTTGGCCACCGTCTTGAAGAGACAGCGCCCCGCGCCTCCTTCCCTCCCGCTGCCCTCCCTTTCTCCCCCCATCCCTGTCATCCCTGCCCCTGCTCTCAGCATCAGTCGACCACCCGGTGCCCTCCGTCTCTCCTCCCATCCTTGTCATCCCTGCCTCTGCTCTTCGCATCAGTCAGCCAGTTCGGCACACACCTCACACGCTTCGTAGCCCATAGGGAGCTCCACCGAAGGTCGCCATGGCAGGCTTCACATACGCCCCCTGCATAATTTCGGCACGCTTAACATGTTTCGTGGCCCCAGTGGGAGCTTCACCGAAGGCCCCACTTGCAGTGTTCACATGCGCCCCCCAGCAGTATTTCGGCACATCCCTCACACGTTTCGTGGCCCCATAGGGAGATCCACAGAAAGCCCCGTTGGCAAGGCTCACCTGCGTTTCCCCACACCATGTCGGCACACCTGTCACACCCGTGGCCCCATAGGGAGCCCACCGAAGGCCCCAGTGGCAGGATTTACATGCGCCCCCCCCGCCCACTTCGGCCCCACCCCTCACACGTTTCGTGGCCCCGAAGGGAGGAGCTCCGCCGAAGGCCCCAGTGGCACAGTTCACATGTGTCCCCGCGAATGATCTCGGCACGCCCCTCACATGCTTTGTGGCAGAGTTCACATGCGTCCCCCCGCACCATTTCGGCACACGCCTCGCACGCTTCGTGGCCCCATAGGGAGCTCACGCGTTTCGTGGCCCCAGACAGAGCTTCTCTGGAAGCCCCACTGACAGGGTTCCCGCGTCCCCCCACCCCACTTCGGCACACCCCTCGAACGTTTCGTGGCCCAACAGGGTGCTCATCCGAATGGCCCAATGGCAGGGTTCACATGCGTCCCTCCGCATCATTTCGGCACAACCCCTCACGCGCTTCGTGGTTCCATAGGGAGCTCATCTGAAAGCCGCACTGGCAGGGTTCACATGCGCCCCCTCGCACTATTTCGGCCCACCCCTCACACGTTCTTGGCCCCAGAGGGAGCTCCACTGAAGGCCCCAGTGACAGGGTTCGCGTGCGTCCCCCCCATATGGAGCTCCACAGGAGGCCTCAGGGTTCGCATGCGCCCCCCCGCTCCATTTCGGCACACTCTCGCACGTTTCGGGCCCTCATACGGAGCTCCGCCGAAGGCCCCAGTGGCAGGGTCCGCATGCGCCCCCCCGCACCATGCTGGCACACCCCTCACACGGTTCGTGGCCCCATAGGGAACGCCACCGAGGACGACTCTCGCAGCTGCGTTACTCACAAATGCATCTGGTTGGGCCACTTGCCCAGATCATGTGGCGGGGACGGCGGTGGGGGCATCATATTGCCTACTGTGCGAAGGGCCACCACCCCTGGCAAACAAATAGGTTCGCGGGGCCACCATCACTGTCAATGAACGCTCCATACAAAAAATAACAACAACAGATCGCCTGATGTGCTGACGTCGTCTCCGCCGTGCCTCAGGAGTCCATGAAAATGGCGACAATTGCGCAGTTCGCAGCGAGGTCTTGGCTGCATCCGCGTGGCCCCCGTCTCCGCTGGACCTCCCAGGAGCCCACAGAAGTGGTGACAACTGCGCAGTTCACAGGTGGTGTCAATTTGCGCAGTTTGCAGCCACACAGGGGGCAGCGAGGTCCCAGTCTGGGTGCGCGTGGCCCCCGACTCCGCTCCTCACGCTTCGATGGGAAGGTGGGCTGGGAACGAGCGAATGTCGTGCAGGGGAGAGTCGGCGTCCGTTCTGCCGCACTGGCAACTGCGCGGGGTCGCATCAGTTGCTCTGCAACGCACCCGGCGCACTGCCGCACGATAGCAGGAAGCTGCGCCGCAGTGCCACTGGGTAGTATCATCTTGAGCTGGCGGCTTGGGAGCCGTCTGGGGCTTCTTGGGGCTCTCTTGGGAGTTAGGGTGTTGTTTTCGGCGTGGTATTGCACGCCTTTTGGGCCGTACTGGACGCTCCTGCGGGGGAAACGGCCACCATGCTGAAATCATACGAAGCACTCTGACATGAACAACAAGTTTGAACTCTTTGGCTTCTATTGGAGGCCCTCAAGACTGCCCCAGTCCACTCGAGAAAAGTCAGGAAGTTGCCACTTGGTGTTGCAACATGGGGAGGAGGAGGAGGAGGAGGAGGAGGAGGAGGAGGAGGAGGAGGAGAGAGTAGAAGGAGGAGAGAGGAGAGAGGATGCTGCTGCTGCTGCTGATGATGATGATGGTGATGATGTCGACGATGATGACGATGATGACGATGATGATGATGATGATGATGATGCTGATGATAATGATAATGATGATGATGATGATGATGATGATGATGATGATGATGATGATGATGATGATGATGATGATGATGATGATGCTGATGATCATGATGATGATGGTGGTGGTGGTGGTGGTGATGGTGATGGTGATGGTGATGGTGATGGTGATGCTGCTGATGATGACGATGACGAGGAGGGGGAGGAGGAGGAGAGGAAGGAGGAGGAGGAGGAGGAGGAGGAGGAGGAGGAGGAGGAGGAGGAGGAGGAGGAGAGAGGAGGTCTTTGGGTGGTCTCGTGTGGACTGTTGCGATTTCTCTGGGCGGTCTCTTGGTAGCCTCGGAGGGGGGGCCTCTTGGGAGTCTTTTGAAGCCTCCTGGGGCATTTTCGGAGCCTCTGGGGGCCACGTGGGACCATCTTGCCCTTGGGAGCAAGGCGCTCGGGGCACCTTCGACTTCCTGGCCCACTTTGGGCATCTCTTGGAGCATTATTGGAGGTATCCACGTCCGGAGGTGACGTGCTGAGCGGCAGCGTCTTCTGCGGAGGCGATAAGACAACGTATTCGATGCGTCTCACTATTTCCCAACCGTCCTGTGGATTGGGGTCCTCCTTTTGAAGAGAGCGCCGCGCGTTCCCCACATCCCGCCCTTCCCTCCCGCTGCTCGCCTGCCTCCTCCCATCCCTGCCCCTGCTCTCCGAATGCGCATGTCGGCACACCCCTCACACGCTTCGTGGCCCCACAGGGGGCTCCACCGAAGGCCAACATGGCAACGCCCGCCTAGCGGCACCGCACATCTTTCGGCACACACCTCACACGCTTCGCGGCCCCACAGAAGAAACTCCACCCAAGGCCCACATGGCAGCGCCCGCATGGCGGCACCGCGCATATTTCTGCAGAAGTCTCACGTGTTTCGTGGCCCCACAGGGAGCTCCACCGACGGCCCACATGGCAGCGCCCGCATGGCGCGACTGCCCCCCCTTCTTCCCACTTTCCCTGCGGCAATCACACCTGCATATGGTTGGGCCTTTCGCCCGGATACTGCGTGCTTGCTACATATTGTATGATTCTACCTGATTCTGCCCCCCCCACCCTCTAAGGAGTCGCGCCATCTCAGCTGACCAAATGCCCCTGCCCCCCCTCCTGGGGCCCCCAAAACGTATGTATGGACCCTCTATGATATCGGCTTCTGGGGCACCAAACGGTTCAACATGGCCTCGACACGGCTCAACACACGGCTCAACACGGTTTCACGCGGCTCAACATGGTCTAGAGACGGCCTAAGACGGCCGAGTAGGGCACAGGGGGGCCCACTAGGCCAGCAAGACGGTTACCAAGAGGGCCGCAAGGGGGTCTTGAGCTCTCAGACACCCGAATAAGCGAGAGCGGCAACACCTCTCAAAAGCCACATAACAAATCAATGCAGGTTGCCTCTGATGCCTTCATGGCGGTCCGCTTGGGGCTACCTGGGGCGCCTTGGGAGCGTCGTGGGCCGTCTCGAGGCCATCCTGGAGCGTCTTGGGGCCTTCGAGGGACTGGAAGCCATCTAGCGGCCTATAGCACGCCAAGCCTCCTGTGGCGATTTCGGGCCATCCAAAGGCCACTCTGGGCTCCCGAGGGGGCGTACCCTACCAGTCAGGGTTTCGGTCCAGCCCCTGGGGCCCCCCAGGGGCCAGAGGTCCTGGTACACATCTAGATCTGCCCATATGACCGTCCTTCGGCTGCGAAGGAGGTTGTGTGGGGGGGAACCAGCTGATGACAGCTGCGATGGGACACCATCGGGGCACCCTGGGGACAAATAAATGCCACCATCGGGACTCCATCGGGACACCATCAGAACTCCTTCGGGACACCATTGTGGCCCATCCGTCCACTGTTTGTCGATCGATCTCACTATCGGCGCCTCACTGTAGGTCTCGCTATAGAGATCACTATCGATATCATTATCCGTTGATCGATCTCACTATCATTATCATTATCGATCTCCCAATCGGCTTCCACGGCCACCACTGGACACCGCGGGACAGCGCGCCACGGGACACTACGGGACACCGCGTCGATCTCACTATATACCAACCTCAACGTCGGTCTCAATTTCGATCTCACTACCGATCTCACTATCGATCCCACAAACGGTCTAACTATCAATCTCACTATCGACCTCCGCAAACCACCTCAGGACATCGCACCACGGGACACGAAACCGAAACCGACTTCCCGGTAAGGGAGGTCTCTGTTTCCCTTCGATCTCACCCCCCCAACCTCCGACAATACGCAAGCACATGTTCATGCATGTATATGTAACAAGCAGTCGTTGTCATGTGCACATATTAAGAACTGTGCAATGCGCACACTCGCACATCAACCGTACGTGAAGCGAAGCAAACTCTCGACTCCAGGTGTGCGCTGCAACACACCTTGAATGGGTTGGATCATTCGTCCTTCCCTACCTCTCACTCCTTCTACTCCTCAGTATTCTCTTCTTCGTTCTCGTCCACATCCACCTGCTACTTATCAGCGAATGCCACTGTGAAGCTCACAGATGACTGCGCAGTCTAGATTACAACTCTTCTTTTCGAGGAAAACCTTCCCACCTGTCAGGGCTCGGAAATATAATGAGGAAGACTCGGAGGCGGATGAAACGCAGGGAGAAGCGGAGTCCCCATATGCGACCGCGATCACTTCACTCCTCGTCATTGTCCTCATTAATGTTGAAGTACCGCAGCTCGTAAGATGTCTTGTTGGGTGCCACAACACGCAGGAAGTCGCGCAGCTGCTGCATCTTAAGGTATTTCTTTGCCAAATATTTCAGATACCTTTTTGAGAACGGAGCCTCTGCGTTGACAAGAATCTTTGCCTTTTCCCTTGAAACTGTAACCTTCTCGCCCAAGTTTCCAGTCTTACCGTCAACCTTGATTCTGTTATTGAAGAACTTCTCGAGGTCCTTGGTCTCGATGATGTTGTCATCTGCTGGCTGCTGGCAGTCGACAGTGAACTTGAGCGTCTGCTTCTTCCCCTTTGCGAGCACCTTCTTCTTGAGCCCCTTGATCGCCATTTTGCGGCGGCTGCGGGAATGCGTGCGGAAAGGAGTTTACTACAGCACCCGAGATCCAGTATGGCTTCTGATGTCAATGGCGGACCAAAAGACGACTGCAACGAGTATTAGCCTCAAAGAAACAGTGTGGAGGAAACGGATCCCCGAACCCAAGGCGTTCACGAAGACCGTCGTTTCATCGCGAATCGGTTCTTGACGGTCTTGGGGCCGTGGGAGGGCTCTGGGGTCCCGGAAGCGGAGACAAAACTCCAGGCCCCGTTTTCCTCAGGAACCCTCTCCTTCATGGCGAGAAGATGACGCTGACGATGCAACTCGCCCAAGCGATGTCCGCACTAACCAAACCCACAGCAATGCCGACAAATGAGGTCCCAACCGTGCGCGCGCGAGCATGCGGAACGGTGGGTCGCGTCACGCGCTGGGCGGGAAGCGAACCGCAAAATTCTGCGCTGATGCAGTCACATACACAAGCGTATGCGTACTGTACATACAGATGCTCAGCTTCATGGACAGGATGACCGATCTAAGAACTACCATCGCCAACCCCCCAGCCAACCCTGTTCAACCCTTGCAGGCAAGGGAATGCGCGCTACAAGCAAGCCAACACGCTCAGACTGAATTTCCTGGAGACAGCCTGGCAGCGGATGCGTCGCCGAAAACGAATCGTTACGCTTGGAATGAGATCAGGCGGAACTCTTGGCAGCGCGGGCGCATAAAACATGTGAGCAGACACGCTCGGAGCAAGCTTCCTGCAGGAAACGCTGGATATTTGATGCGCGTGTCCTGCGAAGTGGGCACGCTTGGCTTGAGCGTCGTGGCAGAAAACGCTGGCAGCGTGAAGTGCAATGGGGACAAACCGGCACGTCGGAGCTCACGGGAGGGGCACCGGAATGATACGAGGGCGAGAGGCACGGGCCCTCTAGCGGGGACTTCATCAAGACGAAAACGCGCGCACAACACTGTGTGCTGGATGCGAGCCCGCGAGCTCGGACTGAGTTGTCCGGCTTCCTGGCAGCACCGCGGGCAGCAGGAAGATCGCCGAACGCAATTCGGCACACTTCGAGTGAACTCCCTGGCGAGATCGTTGAAAACAGTGCTGGCGCAGCGAAATGCGCCGTGCGCGAACTGGCACGTTCGAAGTGCCGCACATCTTCCATACCTCCCCGCCATCGTGCGTTCCGTGATTTGGCTCCGTACTCCTCGTCCTACAACTCCTCCTTGTTACCCTCCTCCTCGTCCTCGTCGTCCACCTCCTCCTTCTCCTCTCCTTATCAGAATCATCCGGATCTCCGACGCTCGTCTTCCAAAACCACAGCGCCCCGTGCGTGTGTGTGTGTGTGTGTGTGTGTCAAGTTTGCGAGGAAAGGCTGGCCTGTGGGCGGGCAGGGGCGTCGGGGCGCAGCGGCGCTGGTTCTGGCGCGCGGCCTCGCGGAGCCCCAGAGACAGAGAGCTGCCGACCTGTTCAACAGCTGCTCGCAAGGGTGGTGGGAAGGGCGAGAAAATTGATGTTCACTTCCTTCTAGTATCACACCCGCATGTGCTCACATGATCTCCGGCGCTCGGTTTCCAAAGCACCCCGTGTGCGAAGTTTGCAAGGGAAGGCTGGCCAAAGGGCGCCCAGGGGCGTCGGGGCAGCGGCGCCTGTTCTGCCGCGCGGCCACACAGAGCCCCAGTGACAGAGAGCTCTCGAGCTGTCCAAAAACAATTCGCAAAGGTGGCGGGGGGAAGTAGGGTGAGGAAGCTGCAAATCACTCCCTTCTACTATCATGACGTTGTGCTCACATGATCTCCGGCTCTCGTGTTCCAACGCGCCCCATGTGTGAAGCTCGCGAGGAAAGCTGGCCGAAGGGCGGCCGGGCGCGTCGGGGCGCAGCGGCGCTGGTTCTGCCGCGCGGCCTTACAGAGCCCCAAAGACAGAGAGTTGTCGACCTGTTCCAACCTTGCTGTTGTTGCCACGCGTTTGACATGCGTCTTGCCACCTCGAGCGCGTCGGTGGCACAGTCGCCCAAAGCCCCGTGCAGCTCGAGCAAATTTAGCAAGCTGTTGGACGCGCTGTCGGCTGACAGACGACATGTGGGCGAAAGACTGGGCGGCCGCGCCCGCCTGGAGATCGCGCCGCATGGGTTTGGCATTCTCCCAGCGCCCGCGGTATGGTCGCAGTCCTGGGTCCTGAAAGGAGCGGAAGTGATGGATGGCCCCGCCTCCTCGCAGCGACCAGTGGGCGTGCCGGCGAGGTCCTCGGCTCGGCGCCATTGCTGGAGATGCCCCATGCGCTTTGCCAGAGACTTCAAGGAGAAACGTAAGCTGCCCACGCATATCAATAACTTCCACGTCAAACGTGGCTGCGGCATTCTTTCGGCGAAATTGCTATATTCTGTTTGTGGCCAGTGGAGTCGCGCTGTTATCAATGCCCGCTTCAATGAGCTGCGCGGCCGCAGTGGAACTCTCGCCGCGGGGAACTTGGCGAATAGCTGCGCAGTCGGCATCCGAGCTCAATTGGAGCGAAGCCCGTCGCGGGAGCAGATGCAAGCCCAGTTGACGCGGTACTGCCAGCGCTTGGATAAGGCAATCACAACCCGATTGGATCTGGCGCGCACGAGGTGCGCGCTGACGGCCGACTGCGCCAAGTACCATCAGGTATCTGACAAGCTCTGCTGCACCGACGCTTTCTTGGACGCCCACCTCGCGGCCGTTGTGCATCCGACGACGGAGGGGGCAACGGAGCGCGTTGTTGCGTTCCCCAGCCCAACCGTGGAATCTATCGCACTTGCTTCCGACGGGCCGCGCATTCTATCACGACTTGAACGAAAAGATGGTGGGGACCTGTGCATTCGGCGAGCTGTGGATCGCTGCCGCGCCGGCTGGGACGTTCGAGTCTCGGGCGTGGATGGGTTCTACAAGTCCTCGATGTCCGCGCCGCGCTAAGTGCCCCGCGGGCAGACGCGAGACGTCGCGGCAGGGCGCAGCAGCGAGCCATTGCGAATGCTCGTCGCCGCCCAGTGTCTCGACATCACATTGAATATCCACGGTGCCAGCTCGGAAGACCCAGTGCGCCAGGCTCGTGTTCTTCGACATGCTGTTCGTCGGGGGGATGCTGATCAAGTGGAGAAGGTGCGTTCGGATTGCCCCGCGTCGTTGGACCGATGCCCGCGATTACGAACCACATTTCCGAATTTGACATTCGCCAGCAAAGACTTGCTGCGCGCCGCCCTGAAAGTCGAGCAGGCAACACATGAGAAGACAAGTCTGTTTTCTTCGTGCATCCGCAGGTGCCGAGCGAAGTTTCGCTTGGGTGGATTTGGCAGAAACCAATCTTATGAATGCAGCTCTGGCCGCGGCGGGCCACCTGAACTTCCAGCGAAGGTGGCGGGCGCGAGCGAATCGGTCGCGCGCCGCCTCTGCAAGCGCACCCGATGCGACAGCTATGTCGCGAAGCCGTGCGGGTCCATGTCGGGTTTCGCAAATGTTTCGGCTTCCATCTGCGCGACGCATCCAGATGCGGCGCGCAGAAGTACAATTAAGAAAGAAACGCAGCTGAGCAGTCTCGAATACGCTACGACTGTATAACAATTGTGGTACATTCAGTTGTTGTGTAAGTGCGTTGCGCCATCGCAATCATGTTTGGCACGGCGTGGAACGAGGCTTTCCAGATACACTTGAAAGCATGGTGTAAGCTAAGATTCCTCCCCGCAGATTTTCCTCCGGCACTCAGGAAACGCTGTCAATGGTGAAAACCGAGAGAGCGCGATGAGGCAGGACGATTGAAGCGCAACGCAAACGCAAAGAGGCTTCCAGGAGGCGCGGGGAGGAGGGTGGGTGACGGCTGAGGCCATTGCTCTCGTCATCAAAGCTTACAAATCAAGCTAGGATTTCCCCCCGCAAGTTTTCCCCCGGCACTCAGCAAGCAACAGCAATGGTGAAAGCCGAGAGAGCGCGACGAGGCAACACGATTGAACCACAAAAACTAAAGAGGCTTCCAGACCCACACCACCAAACACTGAGCATCATAGCGCAGCGTGGACCTGGGCTGCGAGGAGAGGAAACAAAGACAAAGCACTCAGATTTTGCCACGCTCGAGACCCTGGCTGGCTCGAGCGAGTAGGCCGGGCAGCGCGGCGGCGAAGCTCCTTCGAGCTCCTGCGAGGCTTGCGCCCTGTTCGGCACGAGCGCCACTGCAGCCACTCCTGGCTGCACAACCTCCTGGACTTGAGCTGCCTCCAGCGTCCGCGCCACTGGGTTTGCGGCAAATCCTTGCACTTCCAGAAAAAGAAAAAATGGCGCGGCCGCCGCGGCGCGACGCTGGCGTCAAGCCGTGGGCCACGGTGGCCGCGATGCCGAAAAACAATACGCAGGCATCGTGGCAGCGGCGGGTGGGCTGGCGGACTCGCACGAAGCACGCCTCCAAGTCCGCCGTCCGCCGCGCCGGCAGCAGGCGGCCTGCGAGGCACAAGCCGAGTGCTCCGCCAGGGCGAAGCATGCAGGCCAGGACGATCCACTCGGCCATGTCGATCCAGCCCCGCTGGACGCCCGCGCCACCCGCGCGCGCTGCGCCGGGACGGGCGTGGCATACCTGTGCCTCGTCGGCGCCGCGAACTGCCGCGCCTGCGCCGCGACCCCGGCGGCGCTCCTGTGCCAGCGCAGGGACCTCTCGACGCCCACCTCCGCGTTGATGGTCTCCGTGTCGAGCTTGAGGCTCCTGTCGCGGGAGTCGAGCACCTGGCCGCGCGCCACCGCGATGGTCATGGTGGTCGTCCGCAGCCCGTGGAGAAGGTGAGCTGCGGGGCGCGCCGCTGGGGCCTCGCTTGCCATGCGAGCCCCATGCGCGCCAGGGATCGCCATCAGCACGAACCCCAGCATGACTGCGGCGGACGCTGTCCACGACCACGCAGCGCGCCAGGGGCCCTCGCCCGGGTAGCCGAGGGTGCTGTCGAACTCCTTCAGCTGCCGCAGCTGCACCAGCTTCACGAACAAGCGGCGCCACTCCGACTCCGCCCGACGCTGACGAGGAACTCGCGTCCACTGATCCAGCTCATCGAGGCTCCCAGCGCCGGCCAACGCCCGACAGGTTGGCGGGGCGGCTGAAGGTGGGGCGATCGCGCGCCCGCGCGACGGCCCGTCCGCCGGGATCAGGCGGGTCGGCGCGAAGTCGTAGCTTGGGTAGAAGTCGAAGCCCAGCACGTCGGGAAGCCCCAGCTCCAGGTCGGCGTTGATGAGCGCGTGCGAGGCCGAACGGCCCATGGCGCACGCCCCCAGCGCCACGGTGGAGTCCAGCAGAAAAGGCTGCCGCGCACACGGCTCCTGCCTGGCCGCCCTCGACCTGGCCCTCATGCGCGCGCGGATCTCCAGCCTGTTGATACGCACGGCCGGCGGGCATGGATCGCAGCAGAAGGCGCGCCAGCGGCAGCGGCGGATCAGATCATTGACGAACGGCTGCTCCAACCTGCCCGCTGCGTCCGCGCGCGCAGGTGCTGGCTCGCTGGGCCCCCCAGCCTTCGCCAGGTGCGCGTGCGAGAGCTCGGCCCAGACAGCGCACAGCTGGTCGGAGTAGGCGGCGGCGGGGGCAGTGCGCGCAGCGCCCAGCAGAGGGCGGCTGCGGGCCTTCCGCCCATGCTCGCAAGGCCTCGCCAGCGGCAGCAAGAAGTCGGCGCGCACCAGGCCCAGCCTCGTGGGTTTTCTGGAATGGCGCTCCAAACGAGCAAGCAGCGAACTCCAGAGTTCCCCAGCCAGCCTTGCCGAGCAGCGTCTTCACCGCAGGCGCGTGCCACGTGTGCGCCCCAGCTGGGTGCTCGAAGGACCCGCGCGCGCCGTACTTGCGCGCCGTCCAGAGGATCAACAGCACCTTGCACAATAGCACGTTACCAAGCTGGTTGGCCCCGTCCGCGGCGTCGAAGCCCAGCGGCTGTGTCCTCGACCTCAAACAGGGCTGCCTGGCCAACCAACAAATGATGCAAGGTGGGGCGTAGTGGACATGCGCGACCCGCTCGTTCATGATCAAGAACAAGAACCACTCGACAGTCCTCGTGGAACGCAGGTCCCACGTCGGGTGCGTCTTCGGGTCGATCCGAGGTCCCATTCTCAGGCCAGCAGCGGCGTGCGCCTTGGACCCAGGCGCGTCCTGACCGATGCAGACCTCCACAATGTCGAACACCTCCAGCAAGTGCCAGCGGGGCACCTTTGTGTCAGGGCGGAGCTCCTCGTCGATGTCCTGCAGCTGGGCCCTGTCCTCGAGGCGCTTGTGCGCGCGGATGTAGGCCACCTCCTTGCAGTTCAACTGGGTATACCAGCCACGCTGATCCCGATGGCGCCAGATCTCACGCACGATGGGCTGCTCCACGTCGGCGACCACGGCAGCGACGTTCAAGTGCGAGGCGTCGCTGCACACCACTCTGGGGGCGACCTTGGCCTTGAGGTTGGTGACCAGCGCGGGCGCGAGCATGGCGAGCAGCATCAGCTCCTGCCTCGCCCCAGCTCCCAGCGTGAAGGCGTCGTCGTCGCGCGTTACCTCCGGCAGCGCGCGGAACACCTCGTCCAGCAGGCACATAGCAGGACGCCGGAAGCCCACGACGTGCACCCAGCTAGCCACCGTCCTCCGCAGCAGGGCGTCGGTCGTAATGCCGTGCACCGCCGCGATGCCAGAGGATCGCAGGGCCAGCCAAGCGCGCCGCAGCCTCTCCGCCCCGATATGTCCCGCGGACAGCACCTCGGCGCCCAGCGCGAAACCTTCCGCAACTCCAGCCACGCGCTTGTCGCCCCCGCCTTCAGGCCCACCTTGGCGCACTGCTCCCGCGCGCTCGCGAAGGAGCGAACGAGCGCCGGCGGAATCCTGCGCGAACCCAACGCCCGCTGCCCGATGCCGATGTGGTCGTCTATCTGCAGCAGCTCGGCGCGAGGTCCGCGTGGGAAAGGGCGGTGATGCTGCGCGCGCACCGCATCCGCCAGCGAGCCACCTGCCTGCGGCACCGCCTCGTGCGCGCCCTGCGCGAAGTCGATCGCGCTCTGCTGGCTAGCCCCGCAGATCTCGCAGTGCTCGCCCAGCTCGGCGGGCCTGTCCGCATAGGCACGTGTGTGCCGCAGCAGGTGGGTTGGCACCATGCGCGCCAGCACGTTGGTGCGCGCCTTGGCCGGGGGGGCGTCGAACGACGGGTAGAAGCCCGACGCGTCCTTGGCGAACAAAACTGGCGCGCACTCGCCCTGCAGCTCGAACTCGCGCAACGCGTGACCCGAGACCAGCCGCTGGCTGCAGGACTGCAGCGCGTGCTCCGCCGCGTTCCTGATGCGCCTGTCCCAGACAATGCGATCACGCTGCTGGTCACGATACACCGGAATCAGCTTGCGCGCTTGTCCCAGATTCACCTCATCGGGCTTGGCCAGATACAACATCCGCGATCGATCCAAGCCAGACGCAAACGCTACGATTTCTGCCAAGCTGCCAGCCTGCCGCATAGCCTTCAGGCCGTGCTCGAGGGGCCGATCCCTCTCTCTCAGGCTGGGGTCCAGGTACGCCGCAGCCTCGAAGACGGGCAGGTGGTGAACGGTGTCGAAGTGGGCCTCCTGCTTGCAGAAGGTCGCGCGAGCTCCTCCCCCTCCTTGCTGGGGGCGCGGCGGGCGGACAGCCTGGCGCGGAGAGAGCAACAGCAGGGGCAGAAACACGAGCAACGAAAGCAGCTGCCGCAGCAGCCAAAGCACCATGCCGCAACCCTGCCCGGAGCACGCCAGGGCGCCAGGCCCACGGGAAGGACTCAGGGCCCTCTAAGAGAAAACGTAGGGGAGACGAGACCCGCCCAGGGGTCTCGTCTTCTAGATATTGGCTCGGGCTCTAGGGCTAGGGGCACATGCCGGGTCGGGCGAAGGGGGGGGCAGCAAAGGGAGGATTTGAGAATCAGCTCGCGTAGCTGATTTTCCCGGCGCCGCCCGGCGCTGGAAGCGGCCGTGCATCGAGGACTGGGCCCTTGGTGAAGCCGGCACCAGCTGCAGGCAGCAAATTTTGAAAAAAAAAAAAAAAAAAAAAAAAAACAAAAAAAAAAAAAAAAAAAAAAAAAAAAAAAAAAAAAAAAAAAAAAAAAAAAAAAAAAAAAAAACCTTTCCCACTCCCCCCCCCTCGCCCTGCCTGGACATGGGGGAGAGGGGCGGGGCCCGGCTGGAGGCGGGGGCGGAGGAGTGCGACAGGGGAGACAACATGAGGGAGGAGAGGGGGGGTCCATCAGCGAGGGCCCTCGAGAACATGTACTTCCGCTGCGCAGACGTGGCAGGGGGCCGGCGTGGGGGCAAGTCCATTGGCAGCCGAGGCGGGGGCCCAGGAAAGAAGAGGCAAGAGGGAGGGCGAGGCTTGAGCAAGACTCACGACAAGGGGAGGGGCAGGGCAAGAGAGGGGCAAAGGAGGGAAGAGGAGGGACGGGCAGGGAAGCGCCAGGAGGAGGGAGGAAGTCGAAAGGGAAAGAGGCAGGAAGAGAGAGGTTCCCGGCGTTAAGCTCCGGAGGGCGCTCTTCGCCAACGTTGTCTCGTTTTGCGCGCGTGCGCGCACCCATGTCGCTGAGCTTGTCAATCTGCGTGCGCGGGCGCCTGCTGCCGTGCCACGAAGTGCGCTGCAGTCCTGCGATGCTCTCCTTCTTTCTCCTCTCTCCTCCTACGATTGAAAAAATGCGCGCCGCCATCGCCCGCCGCCTGTTGCCCCCGAGCTCGCGTGGCATTGCGGGGCAAGGAGGGGCCGCCGGGCATCCTCCTGCCCCCCTCCGCGAGCCCCTCCCCATAGGCGCCCCGCCGATGGCAGGGATCGGGCGCCGTGGAGGCGGACGCGCAGGCCACTTGACTTGTCGAGAGCAGGTCGTGCTGGATGTCGCCTCTCGCCGAGACAATGTCTTTCCACATCGGCGGCGAAGGGGGCCCAACCAGACCCTCCTTTGATTATTGCTGCGGACCAGGCGCCTGCTTCGGCAGGGCGGTGCCCACGCACGTGCTTCGCAGGGAAATGGAAAAAACAAAAAAAAACTTGTTTTTCTCATCGTTGCTTCCGCGAGTTTCTGAGTTCCCTAGGACGGGGGAGCATATTGTTCGAGCTCTTGGGCGCGCATCGCGCCGACCCCTGACTCCGTCTTCTCTGCCGCGCGCTTTGCCCAGGGAGGGGGTCGGGCGATGTGGCTTGGGCGCCTAAGGTGGGCTCTTGTACTCTCGCATATGTCCCCTGTGGCGACGCCAGCGCCCACGTGTGCCATGTGGTCGAGAGTACCAGCCAGTGTGCCCGCTGGAAATAGCTGGCCAGGCGC